ATTAAAAAAAAAATGAGGTTAATCGTGCCTGATCTCTCCTGGAGAAGCACGGAGCCATGTTCTTGAGAGTGTTGTTCTTTCTGAGCATCCCTCTGAAGGAGAACACTCACACAGGGCTTCCTCCTGGATCCCGGGTGAGGCACAGACCACACCCCAACACCTGTTCTCACAGAGAGATCCTTTATTTCGGGAAGAAAAGTTGAAGTGGCTGCTTTTCGGACTCAGGCAGAAAAATAGCAGCAATGACCTTGCAGGCAGCATTGTTAAGAGGAGGAAAAGGGGGAGGTCTGTGTCAAGATGGGGTAGGATGTGGTGGTAAAGGTGATAGGGGGCAAGAGAGAAGCCGGAGGGGACAAGGGAAAGGGGAAGGGGTGTTTGTCCCAGAGGGACAGAGGACTGCCTCTGGATAGAGAGGAGACAGAGTGGCCCACAGGCAAATGGAGGTTTATAAGGTAGAGGAGGAAACCCTGTGTTGTTTTATTTTAATTGGGCATGTTAATTAGGTGAGCCAAAGGGGGCTTCTGATAGCCGGACTTTGGTAGGCAGCCTCAGGAGGAGGAAGTGGCTGAATAAGGGAACAGACCTTCGTGACTAGCTTTAGGGATGTCATCTGAAGGTTTTTAGCAAGGCAGAGGGAATGGGGGAGGAGGGCAAGGCCTGCCAGAGCCACATACTCAAGTGGGCTAGTGTCTTCTTTTTATTTTTCATATATTCATGTTTTGCTCATTTGTCTGTGCAGCACATTCATGCCAGGTGCCCACAGATGCACTGGATCCCCTGGAACTGGAGTTGTGGATGGTTGTGGGCTGCCCACAGGGGTGGGGAATCAAAGCTGGGTTCTACGCAAGAACAAGCGCTCCTAACTGCCAGGCCATCTCTCCAGGCCTCTGTTGTTCTCATGCCCTCAGTCTTAAATCTACACTAAAATATTTTTTACTAAGCTCCCCAACAAACTAACCAAACATAAAACAAATGAAGACAGGGCTGGGGCAGTCATGTAGCCTTGGGTTCCAGCTGTACCACCAGGCGACAGAGTTTGGTGGTGAACACTGGTAATCCCAGAACTGGGAGGTAGAGGCAGGAGCAATCAGAAGTTCAAGGTCACTTTCCATTCCTTATTCCATAGAGTTTAAGGGAGGCCAGCTGGAGATGCATGAAACTGTCTCAAAGAGGCAAAAGCCCAAACCAACCAAACAAAAATCTCAACAACAAAACCGCAATGCAACAGTTCTCAACCTGGGGGGCCTGACCCCTTCACAGGAGTCGAATAGCGAATACCCTGCAATAACAGTGGGAAAACTGCAATTATGAATTAGCAACACAAATAATTTTACGGTTGGGGTCACCACAACACGAGGAACTGTATTAATGGGTGGAAGCATTAGGAAGGTTGAGAACCACTGTTCTAATCAAACAGGTACTGTGAAGATGAAGTATTAATGCACAAGGAAGCGGGAACCACAGAACACAACCCCTAGCTGGAGGGATGAGCTTCAGAATGGTAGGGAAAATTCTTACATGTAGGCGATATTTTGTAATATTCACCAGGAGGTACGGGTTAAGAGGTCAGAGATCATGACACTATCTAAGAGTAGGGAGTCATTTTAGATCAAGCTTCTTTACTGGGCTCTAAAACCAACTTTAAAAAAAAAGCTGCATGGTTTGGGGATGTGGCTCAGTTGTAGACTGCTTCCCCAGTGGGAATGAAGCCCTGCGTGTGGTCCCCAACCCTGCATAAACCAGGTGTGGTGGGCACACTTGCAATCCACACCTGGAAATACCCAGGAGTAGAGAGAGAAGGGTCAGAAGCTCCGAGGCAGCCTTGGGTTTGAGGCCAGCCTGGGCTACATGTTACCCTCTCTGTCTGCTTCTCTCTCACACACAGTATTCATATGGTGCTGCCAAAGGCTAGTTTAGTGTTGATCACACTAACATTCCAGGTATCCAATGTGAATTATGTTGTTATTTGATCTTCCAGGAAATTGAGAGAAATTTTGCTTTGTGTTCTCTTTGCTTTAATCTTTCTTTACAAGATAAAAAAGGTAACTAACTAGAAGTTAAACATCTGACTTTTGATGCTGGAGGTACATGCAGAGCATGATGCAATATCGCCGAGATGCACTTATGACCCTATGGTGGTATTGTGTTCCCCAAAATATTGTGCACCTTAATAAACTTATCTGGGGTCAGAGAACAGAACAGCCACTAGATAGAGAGGCTAGAAAATGGTGGCACTCACAACTTTAATCCTAGCATTCCAGAGGCAGAGATCCATCTGGATCTCTGTGTGTTCAAGGATACAGCCAAGCATGGTGACTCACGCCTTTAATCCCAGAAAATGAGCCTTTAATCCCAGGGAGTGATGGCAGAAAGGAGAAAGGTATATAAGGCGTGAGGACCAGGAACTAGAAGGTTTTAGCTGGTTAAGCTTTTAGGCTTTGAACAGCAAGGTTAAGCTGAGATCCATTCTGGATGAGGACTCAAAGGCTTCCAGTCTGAGGAAACAGGATCAGCTGAGGAACTGGCAAGGTGAGGTAGCTGTGGCTTGTTCTGTCTCTCTGATTTTCCAGCATTCACCCCCAATACCCAGCCTGGATTTGTTTTTATGAATAAGACCTGTTAAGATTCAGGCTACACGACCCCCAAATTAACTTGGAAATAAGACCAATTTGTCTTTATGTTACTTTGAGTGTTTTTTTTTTTTTTGAGACAATGTCTTTGAAGACCAGTGTGGAGGCTCCTGCCTCTACCTCCCAAATGCTGGCATTACAGGAGTATGTTATCACTCTCAGTTTGATATTTATTCTTTTCTTTTTTTTCTTTCTTTTTTTTAGACAGGGTTTCTCTGTGTAGCTTAGGAGCCTGTCCTGGATCTCACTTTGTAGACCAGGCTAGACTCAAGCTCACAAAGATTTGCCTGGCTCTGCTTCCGAGTGCTGGGATTAAAGGCGTGCACCACCACCGCCCAGCTCAGTTTGATATTTATTTCAGCTTCCTTCGATCTATAAAACCAACCTTTTCTGTTCAGTCTATTGGAACACTGACTCTATCTGATAGAATAAAAGGGTCCATCTCTACAGTAAAGTCAAGTCAATTAAAGTCCATACTCCAAAGCTAGGGAGGTAGTTCAGTTGAATGCCTGCCTAGCATGCACAAGGCCCTGCGTTCAATCTCTAGCACCTGAGGGGGAGTGGGGGGACCTTTAATTTGTTGTAATCTTGCCTTATGACACATCTATGTGCAAACTGTAGGCTGGGGATGTAACACAGTGCTGGACACTGGTCTACCAAGCTCCTCATGGTGCTGGGGTTGAACACTGCTTGCAGGCTGAGCATTCACTTCACCAGTGAGTTACACACAAGCCCAGACCTCTCCTTTTCAACCACACAAGTGCTGGGACTTTAGGCATGTCCACACACCTACGGGAACATGTATGAGACAGATGAATCCCACTGCTTCCTTTCCCACTGCACAGACACATGGCTGACCCTGCACCATGACTCACAATGTCACTTTACAGATACATGGCTGACTCTGCACCATGACTCACAATGTCACTTTACAGATACATGGCTGACTCTGCACCATGACTCACAATGTCACTGCACAGACACATGGCTGACACTGCACCATGACTCACAATGTCACTGCACAGACACATGGCTGACACTGCACCATGACTCACAATGTCACTGCACAGATACATGGCTGACACTGCACCATGACTCACAATGTCACTGCACAGACACATGGCTGACACTGCACTATGACTCAGAGTGTCACTGCACAGATACCTGGCTGACCCTGCACCATGACTCACAATGTCACTGCACAGATACCTGGCTGACCCTACACCATGACTCACAGTGTCACTGCACAGATACCTGGCTGACCCTACACCATGACTCACAATGTCACTGCACAGACACATGGCTGACCCTGCACCATGACTCAGAGTGTCACTGCACAGATACATGACTGACCCTGCACCATGACTTACAATGTCACTGCACAGATACATTGCTGACACTGCACCATGACTCACAATGTCACTGCACAGATACCTGGCTGACCCTGCACCATGACTCACAGTGTCACTGCACAGACACATGGCTGACCCTGCACCATGACTCACAATGTTAAGACTTCACAGCAGACTGTTACTTCACCAAGAGAACAGGGGACTTCCTGCCAGACTTTCCTGGTTAATGAGAATATGAAATATAAGAAAAAACACCATGAACACAAAACTGACCCAAAGTATCCACATGGTATTTGTCTCCCATCGTATAATGTTGGGAACATCCTAGAGTGGACTTTACCAGATTCTTTAAGGCACTTTTTTTAAGAGCCCAGTGGTGTGGCAGCACATATCTTCAATCTCAGCACTGGGAGCTCAGTGAGTTTGAGGCTAGCCTGGTCTACACAGTGAGTTCCAGAACAGCCAAAGATACACAGTGAAACCCTGTCTCAAAAACAAACAAACAAACAAATGAAAACCCATTCCCACAAAAGAAAAACAAGAGTATCATTTATCAGTTTACACACTTGAGTGTGTTGTTGTATGCAGTGTGTTGTTTGTATGTATGCTGGTGTATGTGTGCCATGGTGCACATGAAGAGGGCAGGGGAGCTTTTGGGAGTCAGCTCCTCCCTTTGTCTGGGTTTCTGGCATGGAACTTAGATTGTATGGCTTGTATCTAGCAAGTCATTTTGACAGCCTCACAAATGATTTTTTTGTTTGTTTGTTTGTTTTGAGACAAGGTTTCTTTGTGTAGTTTTGGAGCCTGTCCTGAAACTTACTCTGTAGTCCGGGCTGGTCTTGATCTCGCTTACCACTGCTCTGAGTGCTGGGATTAAGGGTGTGTACCACCACCGCCCAGCCATGTAACAGAGAATGTCCGGGTGTTTGGTATTTGTGTCATGTGATTTCAGAATTTATGTAGTTCAGGAAGTTTACTCTAAGAAGAACTCTCTATTCATGAAAACTCTACAATCTAGTCAGAGGATGGATATTTATTTTATAATAAAATACATAAAACCAAAATATAAAGCATACAACTATTTGTACTTTATATGTTGATTATACTGAAATTTAATTTAACATTAGTTAAAATAAACATTAAGTTACTTATATTTGAAACTGTCAAGTACATGATTAAAACAAATGTTTCTCCCCCCCAGAGACAGCACTTCTGGAGAACACGATGATACAAGGCCCCACTCCAACACAGAGCAGCGGCCCTGGCTGGGCGTGCAGTGTGGCGGGAGGGGCCTGGCTGGGTTAGGGTTAGGCTCTGGCTTCCTCCAGCATCAAACACTAGGCCTTCATCTTTTGATTCTTGGACCATTCTTGTGCTTCCCTTTTAGTCTGAAAAGAAAAAAAAAGAGTAAATTAAATGCAGTGCTTATGAGGAGGAGGTGACGTAGAGAACTACATGCTACATCTGGGGCACTCTGTAAGTAGACTGCCCACCTCTCTTTCATTCACACAACTATGGAGCATCTGTCACGGCACTTTCAGGTTCGGGTTTGCTGAGTCCTTGGTAAGAAATGAGCTCCTACGTGGTTGCTGTGGGATCTTTCATGCTTTTACCTTGGGGTGGTAGGGCACCAGGCAATTCATGGCCACTTAAAGCCACCCCAGCCACTGGCTCCCCAGTACCCTGTCTCAAGCCCAAACAAAACAGGGAAACTGAGGCTGGCCAGTGAGGAAGAACTCTGGGATGGGAGAGTCCGAGGGAGGGCTGTCACTGTGTGGCCTTTCCTTCCTCTAAGGGTTCTGGAATTGGATGGAGACAGAGGTGATTTGCATTGGGAAGGCTGTTTGGGGTGCATCTGGGGCTGAGCTGGTAAGGAGTCCACAGGCCTTGTACAAGTTCCCCGCCTTAACAGGAGAGTTACTAATCTATTCAGGGGAGGGTGATTGTCAGGATACAAGGCCCTGGCTGCCCTTGAACTCATTATGTAGCCAAGGTGATCCTGAACTATTTGCCAAGTGCTGGGATTCCTGGGAACAGGTCTCAGGTCTTCCAATCTGACTTCAGTTACACAGACTTTGTTCAGGATGGGTTTTAGTGCACAGCCAAACCAGAAGGCAGGCACAGATACAGCCCTCGTGCAGTACATCGTGGTCTTGAACTCTAGCCTATCTCTGTCTCCCAAGTGTTCAGATTAGGCACAGGCACCACCACGCCCTGCTTACACAAGGCTGGGGCTCAAACCCAGGACTTCCTGAATGCCAGGCAAGCACTCCCCCAAGTTCACTACAGCGGCGCATCTCTTAGAACTGCAAACTGACACTACTATGCAAATTCTCTGGCTTTGGGCAAATATCTAAAGCTATGTATATGTCATTACAGTATGCACAGAATAATTTCACTGCCCATGGAAATCATTATATATTTTTTTCATCTAGGAGAAGGGTCTATAGTTTTCTTATAATATTTTTGGCTAGTTTTGGTACTAAGCATTGTTAAGGTTGGCTTTGTAAAACAGGTTGGGAACTCTCCTCCATCCCTCCCTCCCCACCTCTTCCTTCTCCAAGGTCTCCTATATCCCAGACTGTCTTTAAACCAACACATAGCCCCTAATAACCTTGACCTTCTGATACTCCTGTCTCCATTTCACAGGTTTGAATATGGCTAGCTCTCCCATACTTGATTTGTGTGATGCATGCCAGGCAAAAACACTTTTATCATTCTATTGACCCCCAAACTGGGAATTGTTTCTAACTTTTGAAAGAGATTGTGGAGAATTGGTATAACTTCACCCTTAAAGGTTTGGCAGAATTTACCAGTTAATTTATTTGAGCCTGGTATTGTTTTGATAGATGTAAGTCAATTCACATTTTAAAAGATTTTTATTATTTTCCAGTTTGTATGTGTGTGTCTGTGTGAATACGTACGTGCACAGGAGTGCACGTGCTTGTGGAGGCCAGAGGATAGGGTTCCCTGGAGCGGGAATTACAGCTGTGAGCCTCCTGACTTGGGTAGTGGGACCCAATCTCGGTTCTTATGCTGGGCCGTCTCTCTAGCTCAATTCACACCCAAAACTTACACAGATATAATAAAATACACTGCATATGTGATATCCACAGAACACAATAAATATTGTTTTGTATATGGGCATATGTGGAGGTCAGTGGGCAACCTCGGACATGGGTCCTTCCCTTCCCACTTTGATTTGAGCTAGACTCTTTTATTTCTAGCTGGAGCTTAGGCTAGGCTCTCTGGCCCCAAGGCTTCTATGGATTCTCCTGTCTTTGGCTTCCAGCTTGTGTAGGAACACTGGGACTATAAAGAGGAGTTACACAGGTTCTGCGGAACATTTGGGTCCTGATGTTTTCATGGCAAGCAAACCCCCCCCCCCCATCCAATCCCCCGCTCCAGAGTCTCTTCTTGTGGATGTTATGGCAGACTGCATTTTCTACAGTGATTCACTTCACTTGGCATTGTTCATATGTGAGCATGGAGTTCTTCACGGGATTCCGTTATTATCTGTGAAAATGTCTGTGTGCTGCCTGTAATCTGACACTCGGATGGACAATGAGTCAGGGCCAGCCTGGGCTACACAGAGAGTTTAAGGTCAGCCTGGTGGCTGTAGTAGTTGTTTGGGCCACCCCCTATTTTGTGGTTTGAGGACAGTTTAGCACAGTGGTTCGTCACAGGCTCTTGCTCCGTACTATATTTATTTTGTTTGGTTGAAAGAACATGCAGGACAGTAGGGTGAGAACATGGCCGGAACTAAGCAGGCAGCATGCTTCTTTACCAGAAAGAACTACGGGCAGCATTCACAACTCTAAGTAACCGCCCAATTAGCAAGGCACAGAAACACCACATTCAGCTTTATGAACTTGAACTTACTTCTATTTTAGACCCTCTGTAGCCCTGGTTGGCCTGGACCTAGTGGCAATCTTCCTGCCTCTGCCTCCCACTTGCTGGGATTACAGGCATGGGGGTCTACACTCGGTTCAGTCACCTCTACCACCCAGAGACATGTATGCAGAGTCTTTTGTGGGTGAACTGATTTTTTCAGATGAGGTTTTTGTTGTGTAACCTAGGCAGGCCTTGAACTTGTGATCAGGCTCTCTACTGCAATTACAGGCATGCACCATCTCTGGCTATTGGCAAACTTCTGCCCTTGGTCGTATATTAATTATAATTCATGCTCCTTTGAGCTACAATAGAACTGAGTATGTGATTTCTCACCTACCCTAGTATCTAAGTCTCATTTGTCACCACCAAAACGTGAACAAATGCCAAGTAAGTAACTGTGGTTTTGAAAGGTTGATTTCAGATTCCCATGAAATGAGTAATTCTTCATTACCAGATATTTCTGCTAGTGATGTGCTATTACTAGTATGCTAATATAGCTTAACTTCTAGATACTAATCCATTACCAACTCTTAGTTGGCATGGAGTGATTTGTCTAACATGGAGCACAGATCAACAGCTATCTGTTTATATATGGGTTAGATACTGAATTAGACATTTTTTTTTGTTTTGTTTTTGTTTTTCGAGACAGGGTTTCTCTTGTGTAGCTTTGTGCCTTTCACTTGGTAGCCCAGGCTGGCCTCGAACTCACAGAGATCCGCCTGCCTCTGCCTCGCGAGTGCTGGGATTAAAGGCGTGCGCCACCACTGCCCGGCTGAATTAGACATTTTAAAAGAAATATAACAACAACAAATGTAGTAGGGACTGTATGGGGTTCACAAAAGCAAATTATTCACTGTCTGCCCCTTTAAAGACTTTTCTAACTCTAAACATACCCCGGATAAAATGGGCACAATAATTCAGATACACAATCAGCTATTCTTTATTTTGGTAATTCCACCCTTATCTGTTTGAACAGTAGTGTCTCTCTTATTCTACCATCTTACCAGTTCTCGGCCCTTCAAACATACAACGGTGCTGTGTACTAAATTGGATATTCCTCCTTCACTTATGAACACAATTAACCTTTTAAGTTAGGAGAGTCCTTAACCATCTCCTCCCTGCTGGTTCTGCGAGACAGGGTCTCTCGTGTAGCCCTGGCTGTCCTGGAACACTCTCTCTGTAGACCAGGCTGGCCTCAAACTCAAGAGACTCATTGTCTCTGCCTTCCAAGTGCTGGGACTGAGGGCACAGGCCATCACTGCCAGCAGAGTCCTTATTTTAAATTCACATCTCACAGAGGTTCATTCGGATGAAGGCAGTTTTCATTTATTTATGTATGGAACATTACTGACACACTTAATGATTACCTTTTATTACTATGAACACTGCCATAATTATTATGTGCTCACTTAAGCTAATTATATTTATAATTTTATAGAGAAACAGTACAAATTAATAAAGACAATTTAATTGTAGTACAGTGTCAACAGGTCCCACAAACTACTGCAGATTTTGTGAGGCCCCCCTCCTCTGAAAGCTGCTGCAGAAACAAATGACTGATTAACTGGGAATCTAAGAGAAGTAATTCATTAGGTATGGGGGAGCTTGGAGAGGATTAACTGATAAGACAAAACCCTCTGTGCTGGCCACAAGCAGCCATCTAAAACACTAATCTATAACCTGGGGATTCTAAGACACTGAGAAAGTTTGCTAAACTTAGAACAGTGACTGATAACGGCAGACAAAATCAGCCTGGGGATTGCTCCTGGGATCTAGAAAAAGAGCCGGGCAGTAAGGCTCTAACAGTGTTTAACCTGCGCAGCTTCTAAGAGGCTGTACTTAGTAGACATGATTGCTCTGTTTTCCAGAATGCTGCAGGCTGGGACACAAATCCCGATTTCTAAGTCGATTTCACAGGTAGACCCAACTTCAGTGAGATGCCAGTTGGTCTGGGTTTATAATGGACAAAACATGAGATTGTCTGGGATCATCCATTCGTCCCTCATTCCCTGCTCACTCAGAAATTTCATATTTCAAATGGCTTATTACTAAACTATATATGGAAGAGGCTGTAATATTATTCCTGACTGAAAATACAAATTTAATCTTTTTTTTTTTTTTTTTTTTTTTGAGACAAGTTCTCTCATTCTGTAGTTCAGGACAGCCTGAAACTCACTATGTAACCCATGGTCTCAAGCTCATGGAGGTCTCCCCTCCTGCCTCAGCCTCCTAGGCTCACACTGCCTGTTTCACTTTACAGGGTCTCAGTTCCTCACCCAAGTATATAACGTAGTATCAGGAGCTGGGAAGAGAATGAAATGGGAGAGCTAAGTGATTCATTCTTCCCCTTCAGCGAGTCTGTGCTGAAACAAACCCGCGATGTGGACGGAACCACAGAAAGGTGAGGAGACGAAGGGCCTGAGTGAGTCACAGCAAGGATGAACCTCGGGTAAGCACAACTGCGGGAGAGGCGGAGCCGCTGACGTGCATGGGGCATGGGGAAGCTCAATGGGCAGGGCCGCTGAGACTCGAAGCGCCTGGGCTGGAGGCACTTCCATGAGCGGCCGCCTTCCCCACAGTCAGCATGGCCTACATCACCGCAACACGGACCCTTCCCATAGATTTCCTCTGCGGGACACAGACTTCAGCCTGCTGTCTTTTTAAAGTGGGACGCTGACGCTGGGCGGCATCTGTAACCCCAGCACTCTGGAGGCAGAGGCAGGAGTGTGAGTGTGAGGCCAGCCTAGCTAGCCTGTCTCTGTGAGACCTTTCGAAACACCAAGATGGAATCCTTGCCAAGCACAAGTGCAAGAAGGGGGTTCAGTGCCTATCATGGGAGGAAAAAGAAAGGGGGTTTGATTATATGATCGTAAATGTCTTCCATATCACTGACCTCCAGAAGCCTGGGTGTGTGTGTAGAGAAGGCTAGTGTCACAATTCCTGGACTCAACCCCCCCTTCCCTGACACAAGGTTTCTCTGTGGAACTCTGTGGAACTTGCTTTGTAGATCAGGCTGGCCTCAAACTATCTATCTGCTTGCCTCTGCTTTCCAAGTGCTGAGATTAAGGGCATGCGCTTCCAGCTGCCCAACGTTTTTTTTTTAAACTTTTTTTATATTTATTTATTATGTATACAGCATATATGGCTGCAGGCCAGAAGATGAGGGCACCAGATCTCATTACAGATGGTTGTGAGCCACCATGTGGTTGCTGGGAATTGAACTCAGAGCCTCTGGAAGAGCAGTCAGGGCTCTTAACCTCTGAGCCATCTCTCCAGCCCCCAACTTGTTTTTAACAAGCATCTAGAAGACTTCAAAAAAAAAAAATTAAGTTCAAGGACTTACTGAACTGGAATATTAAAGAAAAATTTTCTGATTTTGAGTCTTGTAGGACTGCAAGTTAAACCTCATGTTTCTTTTTGGAAAATTATGTTGAAATAATCAATAATGCCACTTTTTTCTGTTGCTTTTTTCTTTTTGTATTATTTATTGAAACATATAATTTTCAATATTTTCTAGATATTTTCTTCACAATTCTCCATCCCTTTCTTCCATATTCTGGGAATTCAGCTGTGTTACCCAACCCTTTTAATTTTATTTTAAAAGTTATTTCCAGATAGGGTCTCATCAAGTTGAGCACACTGGTCTAGAACTTACAATCCTCCTGCCTAAGCCTCCCAGGTGACTGATATATTAGGCACATACTGGTATATCTGGCTCCAGTTAGTATCAACTGTTTTATTTGTTATGAAAGATCCAACACAAGAGTGTATAAATAAGTGGGGGCAGGTGCTATTTTCATCCTTTTTATTCTCATGTAAATGAGAACATTGTGGTCTGGGGACATGGTTCAGTGGTACAGTGTTTGCCACACGAGCATGAGGACCTGAGTTTGGATGCAGTAATGCAAGTCTAGAATCTCAGCATCCTATGGGTGAGACGGGAGGCAGAGACAGAAGGACCCCAGGAAGCCTGAGGGCCAGGAGCAGAAGACAAGGGACCTGAAGCTGTCCTCCGACCCCTCACATGCGTGCCGCTCACATGGTCCCTGTGAACATGGACACACACCCACATCATGTGCACACACAAAAGATAAAAATCGTGCAGAATGCATTTCTGAGCCCTTGTAATTTGTTCCTGTTGATGGGAGAAGGAAAGGTGTAGATTTAGGATCATTTCTAGGCAAGTTCAATATGCTAATTAGAAACATAAAATCCAATACTCAGCTAAAGTACATTAGGAAGGGATATATATAGACATTACAAGACCTTTGCCTAACAACATCCAAATTAATTTAAAACAAATATGAAGGAGAAGAAAAAATATATTTAGTGAGAACTACAGCTTAAAATTCTTAATATTTTTAGCTATACTTACAAACAGGGTTGGATTGGGTATAAATACATTGTCTTCATGTTCTCTTGGCATGTTCAAAATCTTGGATGCTTGATTTTCTGTCACACTTTTTGATTCCATTTTGGTAAGTAAGTTGTTCTCAGAATGTTTACTACACATATTAATGATAATCTGTTTCATGGCTGCAAATTCCTGTTGGTATATGAAAACAAGAAAATAGCAAGTATGATTTTTGGCAGACAGACTAATAATGATTGACACTAAACATTTATTTTAAATAGATAAAATATTTGAATATATTTTCATATATTACATATATGAAGAGAGTTGAGAAAACAAAATATTAACGTACAACAATTGTGCACACGACTCCTAATATAGTAAATATTACTCTTAGCATTACAACTGACTTTTTACAGGCTAGTGCTTGCTAGTTTTTCTACACATTGCAGTCACACCTGGAGCTTCAAAAAAAACAACACACCCCGTGATATGTGTGCGTCACACCTATGGACTGTGACACAATGGGTGTGGAATGTATCTGGAGTTCTACTGCAGTTTCCTGCACATATTTGTTGAGTGGAGTATTAGCGACAATTGTCATTTAGTGGCTGGAACTCAAACCCAGGCCCTGTGCATGGCAGGCAGGCTCAGCCTGGTCAGTTTTTCCTCCCTCTTAAACTGTCCTCTTACCTTATGAAGTCTAAATGAAGAAGGTAGAGAATAGAACACGGAATGGTTTTCCGTGACTACTAATCACGGTTTACTTCAAACAGGAAGTTTAATATAGCTTCAGCTGGAGTATTTCTGCAGCCGTTTACAAACGGTAAAGGGAGCTGGCATGAGTTGCCATTTTTAATTTTTCCAGTCCTGGGGACTGAGTCCAGGGCCTTGTGCATGCCAGCCAAGTACTTTACCACTGAGCTACACCCCATCCTGTCCAGTTGCCTTTCCAAAGTATTTATTCCTTACTTAATTTGAGACAGTGCTATGCTATGCAGTCATGGCTGGCTTGGCATTCACTTTGTAGCCCAGGATGGCCTTGAACTCAAGACAGCCCCTCCCTCCCACTTTGGCTTTCATAGCCTTGCCACCTCCATTTTAATTTGCCCTTCGAGTGAAAAATGGACTCCGCTGAACTTGTTGAAGAATTTAGAGTAAACTTTGCAACCACATCTTCTCAAGCCTATTATTTTTCCTCACTAGCTTTTGGCTTTCATTAGTGGACACTCTGATTACTTACTAGACTGATCCATCAAACAGACACCGGGGGAGATGGTCTGCGACCGGATTTATCTGTGGAATAATGGTGGGCTCTGCCCTAGGTAATTCTTTCCTATGACTTTATCTTCATGCCAACACACAAACTTCGGGCAACAGAAGGATGCCCGATGCCTGCTACTGCTCTGTTTATAGATGCCAGCTCCGTGTCAGAGCAAGTCCCTACAGGCCTCTCTTTTCTGGCTGTCATTAGTTCTATTTAGAACCACCTAGCTGGAGTAGATATTTTAAAACCGACTGCGGAGTTTGAGCCTTGCCGCCTCACTAGACTCCCGGGCAAGGGCAGAAGCTGGAACCTGCGGTGCTAGAATCCGTTCTCCTTTCTTGCCCAAAGCACACAGGCTGCACACAAATACAGTCATACAGTTATTTGGGCCTTTAGGAGACTCATTTGGTTTTCAAGATAGCGTTATTTAATTTGTGGTAAGGAATGCAGCTACTGATCTAATGTTAAGCTTATTCAGTTACATCAGATTTTATTTTATTTTATTTTTCTTGACAAGGTCTGTGATAGCCCAGGCTGCTCTAATTTTCTTTGTAGTCAAGGATGACTCTGGATCCTCCTGAATGCTGGAATTACAGGTTTATAAATCAGTTTATGTGGTGAAGGGACTGGAACCCCAGTGCTTTGTATTTCACCAAGAGCTACATCCTCAGCTTCATGGTGTAACTGAGCTCTTGCAGTACTTAATGGGAAAGGGGAAAATGATGGCTTCCTAGTCTATCAAAAACAAAACAATTTTTTTTTTTTTTTGTCTTTTGTTGTTGTTTTTCAAGACAGGATCTCACTGTGTAGTTCTGACTGTCCTGGAACTCACTATGTAGACCAGGCTAGCCTGGAACTCACAGAGATCCACCTACCTCTGCCTCCTGAGTGCTGGGATTAAAGGCGTGTGCCACCATGCCCAGTTTCAACAAAAATGTTTTTTCTGAAAAAACATTCACTAGCCATAAATATTTTTAATATGAAGATGTAATAAAACATGAAAAATGACTTCATAACCTCCCAACTTTTACTAATATATAAATGGTATCTTGAGGGCTTTTGTTAGGATCCTGCTCTCGCTCTTACGTCATCAGTGCATGACTGCGTCCCAGCCTTAAAGCCGGACGTGCACCCCCACGCTCTCTCCATGCTCCTCGTTCTGTTTCCTCTCAGTTCTGCTCCTGCCGTCTTTCTGTCCCTCCAGGCCTGGTTTCTTTCGGACTCTGGTAGCTTTGTCCTGTGACTTTTCCGCAGCGCCCGCCGACCCACCAGCGCTCTTTATCCTCCCAGCTTTGGCCGCTTTAATTAATTGTCCCAGCGACACAGCTTCTTAAACCTGTTCCTACTTGCAACCCCAACCCCAAGAACTTTTTTAAAATGGGATTCCTGAGTGTAAGAAGTATGAAAGCAATCAAACATTTGCTAATAATAAGTCATGTATTTACTAAAAAAATTCTTCGGTATACATATACCCTTAGCATTTATGCAAAGGCAACCCTGTATCCCAATGAGACAGATATGCTTATTTACTTTACATAAAAAATTTAAATTGGAAAGCAACAAAGTAGCTCTCAGCCGCAGGACGGAGCATCTTCACTGTTTTGGGATGTAATCTACATCTTGGTGCTAGAATCATAGCAGCTCAGACTGCAGCTTTAGATAGGAAGTGTAAAATAGCAGGACTTAGGTCCCTTTCAGAAACTACTTGAAATTCTCTCCTAATTGTAAGCTAAAATTCATTGAGTATTTTTTTGTTTTTGTTTTCCGAGACAGGGTTTCTCTGTGTAGCTTTGCACCTCTCCTGGAACTCACTCTGTAGCCCAGGCTGGCCTCGAACTCACAGAGATCCGCCTGGCTCTGCCTCCCGAGTGCTGGGATTAAAGGTGTGCACCACCACTGCCCGGCGTCTTTTAATTTTTTAATTATACTTATTTATTGTATGTGTGTTGGGAGCATGCTTGTGCCATGGTTTATGTATGGAGGTCAGAGTTGTCCCATCACGTGGTTCCTGGGCATTAATTTAGGTCCATCTTGGTGCTTCTGGTTTTTTTTTTTTTTCCCTCTGATACTTTATCAATTACTCAAAGCCATGCCAGTTTTTTTTTTTTTTTTTTTTTGGAGACAAGGCCTTACTATGTATTAAGTACCTCAGGCTAGCCCTAGTCTCATAGGTGGAAAAGTGTAAAGTGGTGTCTTTTTGTTTGGTGTTTTTGAGACAGGATCTGCCTGCCTCAAATTTAACTGTGAATCCAAGGCTGGATTCTGATCCTGCCTATCTCACAAATGCCAGAAGTAAAAGCCTATGCCACAGTGCCTGGCTGTTTTTCCTTTTTTTCTGTAGGACCCAAATTTATCTGGGTTCTTAATTATGCTCTTTTTTGAGATTTTTTTCTTTTCTTTTTGAGGCAGAGTTTTATTGTGTGGTCCAGGGTAAACTAGAATGTTTTACATAACACAGACTAACCTCAGGATCCTTTCGCCTTAGCTTTCCAAATGTTGGGATTATAGGTTTGAACACCAACCTTAGTTAATAGGACGGATTTTCTACTGACTGCTTTTAGGACTGATGCATAACTATTATTCTGAAACTTATTTATTGGGTATACTGGCAAGTTCTATCCTTTATTTAAAGTCCTTTTTTGCATTATTTTGTGTATCTTCACGTGTGTGTATGCCTCCGTTGGAGGATAACGTTCAGAAGTCAGGTCTTTCTACCATGTAGGCTCAGGGATCTAGCTCAGGTCTCCAGAGCTTAGAGGCAGGTGTCTTAGGCCACTGAACCATTCCATCAGCCCAGTTTTATCATTTCTTCAAACCATTTCTTTTTCTATTCCCTGTCAATAAATCCTTTATTAATCCCAATCCATACCTTCTCTCTAACCTTTCCAGTTCTTATTCTATTATATAGCCCAGGCTGGATGTGGTGTCTCGGTGTAGTCCAGGCTGGTATGGATGCTTGCTCCCTCTGTCTCTGCCTCCCTGACACTTGAATTACAGATGTGGATGACCCCAGCTGGCTTACTTTATTAATCTTCACAGTGTTGTGGGGAAAATGTACTCTGCTGTGACAGTGTAACTTCTGTGTCTTATGAACCAAACTCAGGAGGACTCGGAGGCATCTAATTCCATTTCCTTGAAATGTTATTTCTGTCGTTTAGTTCTAAGCTTTAACAGGATTCCTTCATGTTTCCTCTGCCCTTCTAATATTACGTTTATTTAAAATAATTTTTTGTCTCTGAATATTTTAGCTCTGGGACAGGATCTCACCCTGTAGCTTCTGCCTCTGCCTCCCAAGTAGTGAGATTACAGGCGAGCACCATGGCAGCCAAACTGCAGGATTTTGTTTTGTTTGGAAAACATCACGTTTTGCTACTGTGTTATGAAAAGATTACTCTCTCAAATCTTTGGAAAGAAATTAATTGTAATAGTTTGCACGCTTTTCTCTGTTCCAGTTACTCACCACTGCCCCAAAGTGAGGAAGGGAGTTAATATCTGTTAGTTGTGAATTTTTTCACTTTGTGCTATTACTTTTCTTCTAGTTCCTTATAGTTTTTAAATTTTGATTTCTAACTTATGAATGAAGTACAGCTTACATGGTTTCTTTCTGCTGTTAGGGACTATTTGACAGAAGGACAAGGTTCATCTGAATGACCCGGTTCATCTGAAAAAGACAGTAGAATGTGTATCTATCCCCGTTCATGTAGGCAAGATGACCTTTGCAGCAGTTCTCACTCTAGGGCCAGCATGAAGAGTGCAGACTTCTTCCCACAGAGCTAGTGTCCCTTCTCCTGTCTAATTTTGCTTATTATTGGTTGACGATTAATTTAGGAAGTCATTTCCAAAAATTAAAAAGTTCTGTCTTTCTGGTATGTAAATACTTAAAATGATTACAATTATGAGAAGAAATAAACCATCGCTAAATTAA